TTTTAAAACATAAAACCTAGACTACTGTTCTGTTGCCAAGAAAAACTTACAGTAGTCTGTTTTTTTCCAACTACTGTGTTTCCATTAACAGTAGTTAATCAACAATCGTCTGATATTGTTTTTGGCGTAGTGATAGATCACAACCAAGTATATGAAAATACTACTTTTAGTATGTATTTCAAGTTATTATAATTACTTGTTACTGTTAGACAATAATAATACTACTACTTATGGTAGTATTGGTTGTGGTAGTGTTTCATCATTAGTCAACTTCCTAATCCTATTTGTGGTAGATGTTGTATGTTAGTTAGTTTCCATTCTCTATTCCTAGTTGTGTTAGGAGTCTCTCATATATATACCCTATCATGTACTCTATAATTCATAGGAGCAATATTATTATTCCAATATTTCAACATGGTATCAGAGCCACCGCTCTTGGTGACCTAAAAAAAAGTTCTTTGCTCCTACCGCCGCCGCCAGTAATTCCGGCGACGGCGGCTCCACCCTATTCACCTTTATTTTCTTTTTCTTCTTTATCCTCAAATAAACTTCTCCATTCAAATGAAAAAAAAAGGAAAAAAACTCCTGTTGAAATCACACAAAAAAAAACAATCAAAGGAGGAACTTCTCTCTTGTCATCTCCATGGTTCTTAAAAAAAAACTCAACTCCTCACAAACTCTCTCAGATCATCCTATCTTCTGAAAAAAAAGGAAAAAAAAATGATTGTTATTTCTCTCCAATTCACCATATCAAAATCTCAGACCCAAAATTTTTTCCCATCTCCAATTCTTAACCTACTTTTTCTCTCTAAAATCACGCATTCTAATCATCAACCTCCCTTCTCTTTCTCTTCTGTTGAACCAATAAAAATCCAAAGTAAATCAGCACAAAAGCAAAGCTAAGAGGGGAAGTAGTGAAAGAAGAAATAAGACCTCTACAACTCACCCCTTCAAGAAGAAAATAGGGCATTGCCCGGATCCAAGAAAAAGACAAAAAATGTCAAGGATCTTCAGTCAAACAGGCACCTCCAGTAGCCTTCTCTATTCTTCTTTGATGTCAGCAGCTACAAGCGCACGTCAACCTTCTCTCTTCTTCATCGACGTCAGCAGCTACTAGCGCACGTCAATTTCTCTCTTCTCCAACGACGTCACCAACCATCGGCGCACGTCAGATTTTTCTCTTCTCAAAGTTTCCAGTTTCTAGCTAGTCTCCAAGCTTCCTCTTGCTTCAGCTAGAGTTCAGCTTGAGGGGGGATGTTAGACAATAATAATACTACTACTTATGGTAGTATTGGTTGTGGTAGTGTTTCATCATTAGTCAACTTCCTAATCCTATTTGTGGTAGATGTTGTATGTTAGTTAGTTTCCATTCTCTATTTCTAGTTGTGTTAGGAGTCTCTCCTATATATACCCTATCATGTACTCTATAATTCATAGGAGCAATATTATTATTCCAATATTTCAACAGTTACATTATTAACAATACTATTTTATGTATTTGTAGATCAATTGTAGATTTATATCATCCTAAATTTTGTAACTTTGTAACACCATTTCAATGAAGGCACTTAAGGTGCTTTGTTTGTAAAATGGATCGTTCATATCGCTCATAACCAACCTCATAAACCGCCTACTGCATTGCATAATAGCCACACATTTTGTGGGGGGGCTTACGGTGGGGTTGGGGTACGGGTGCAGGGGCGGGGGTAGGGTGGGGTTTAGGGGTGGGTTAGGGGGGTAGGAATTGTCAATTTTACGAACGGAGCAACAGAACTCCGGAAGTACTCCAAAATGACAGTGGCACCGCTAGTGTCACCAAAAGTGGGTGTCACTACACCAATTTAGAATACAAATCTTTCCTTTTGTGTTTCTCTACTTGACTTCTACCGCATGTATAGCTCTCTTTGATAAAACCATGAGTAACACAAATTTTTCCGTGGTTCTACGCTTTGTACTCATGTTATGTGCTTTAGTGCAACGATATCGTAAAGGAATTAGACATTTGGCAAAAAAATGTTTTACTTGACACTAATGAAAAATGTGAGAAGGTTCACATTTTACATGTAGGTCAAAGGACAACTCCTTGGAGAGTTCTTGTGGATAGCAAAAAGGGAAATTATTTCGCTATGTAAGGGCACTGGGTATGGGTGTAACGCCCGGGGGCGTGAGGGGGCTTTTAACGCCCCGGGGCCCCGGGGGCATTAAACACCGCCCCTCGGCGGCGTTACCCCAGCGTTATCGCCTTTGCGTCATTCGTTTAACGCGGCTCAGCCAACCGTTATCCCTCCCCCAACGCTCCCCCAACGGCTATATAGCCGTTTCCCCCCCACCCCCAAATTAAAAAAAATCAAAATTTAAAAAAAATTATAAATTCCCCTAAAAAATCATTCTCTCACACATCTCTTTCACACATCTATCTATATTCTCTCTAAAATATTTATTATTTATTATAAATATTTATAAAATATATTTTAAAAATGGGTTCATCTTCATCCGACGATGAAAAAAGAGCTCTCTTTTTTCATTGTTTCGCTACGAATTGTATTCAATGGTGGGAAGATGGCCAAGAAGAAGCCGAATTCTCCCGACGACGGACCTGACGACAACGTTTAAACCGGGATCGAGCGGCCGCCCACGCTTCACTTCTAAATGACTAGTTTAATAATCCGTGTGTTTATACACCAGAGGATTTTAGTAATTGTTTTCGGATGAGTCGTCCTCTCTTTTTACGCATACTCGCCGATGTTGAACGTGAGGTTCCTTGGTTCACCCAACGGTTTGATGCGAGAGGCCGACGCGTGTTTAGTAGCGTCCAGAAGTGCACTTCCGCGCTCCGTCAGTTGGCGTACGGGACTGCATTTGATATGTTCGACAAATACTTGAAGATGTCGGCTCGAAGCATCAGGTCCTGTGTTTATAAATTTTCAAAAGCTATTATTCAAATTTATCATAAAAAATATTTACAAAAGCCTACAACGGGCGACATCCAGCTATTGCAGGCAAGGCATGCCGCTAAACACAGCTTTGTCGGCATGTTTGGGAGTATTGATTGCACGCATTGGGAATGGAAAAATTGTCCCACTGCGTGGCACGGTCAATTCTCCCAGGGAGATCATCCCAAGCCTACCATCATGCTCGAAGCTATTGCTTCGAATGACTTGTGGATTTGGCATGCTTTTTTTGGTGTCGCGGGCTCGAACAACGACATCAACGTTCTCGATCAATCGCCTGTTTTTGACGATTGGGTTAATGAGACCGCACCGGACTCCTCTTTTGAGCTTAGAGGGATGCTTTACAAGCGTGGATATTATTTGGCCGATGGAATATATCTAGATTATTCCATGATTGTCAAATCCCTCTCCGAACCAATGGGTCTTAAACGCCAGACCTACAAAAAAGCTCAAGAGGCGGCGAGAAAAGATATTGAACGAGCCTTTGGGGTCTTGAAGAGTAAATGGCACATTCTAGATCGTCCGTCAAAATGTTATTCTCAAACAAAAATGAGGAATATCATGTACGCATGTATTATTCTTCATAATATGATCATAGAGGATAACGGGACTGCGATTTGTTAATACAACCCGGACGAGGAGGTTCCTATGTACGAAGAAATCACCGAAGAAAAGAAACGAAGGAACCGCCAAGAAATTCGAAGCCGAGAGATTCACAATGCACTAACGACGGATTTGATCAAACATATCTTTAGTCGCTCGAATAATTAGTGATTTCTTTGTAGTGTTGTTTTTTATGTAATATTTTTTTTAATGAATGTAATTTTTTTATGAATGTATTTTTTATGAATGTCATTTTTTTAATGAATGTAATTTTTTTAATGAATGTATTTTTTTATGAATGTAATATTTTTTTAATGAATGTAATTTTTTTAATGCACTATTCTCATTGCGATTAATTTAAATAATAAATTAATTTAAATTTATGAATTTAAATTTAGAAGATGTATATTTAAAAATGTAAAAAATGAAGGTTTGAAGCTCCAGTTTGAAGCCCCGGGGCTTCAAACCGATTTCCAGTGAATTTTTGGTGTAAGTTAACGCTAACGTGGCAGAGAGAGAAAGTTTGAAGCCCTGAGGCTTCATACGTATTTCCAGTGTTCTAAGAATGAGATAAGAGTAGTAGAACTCTAAAGGTCACATACTTTTCTTCTTTTTTAATTTTTCGTGGTATATAATGAGGTATTTTGACCATTATTATCTTTGTTTATATATAAATGTAAATTACAATGATATGATATTTTACAATTACATATCAAAATGAATCTATTTAATTTATATCATAATATTATACTCCCTCCGTCCCAAAAAGTTTGTTACGTTTTGAAAAAACTGTGTCCAGTAAAATCCGTTACATTTCTATTAAAAAACTATTTTTACCCATTACTTTTTCATACCCTACCTATCACATCATACCTTTTTCCTAATAATCTACCCATCACATCCTACTTTTACCCATCACATCAAGGGTATTTTTGAAAAGTCAATACCAAAATATCCTCCCTTAATTTCCCAAAAAGTCAAACCGTCCCATTCTTTTTGGGACGGAGGGAGTATATTTTTTTTCATAATTAACCTAGGGGTACACCAACATGGATACCACATTTGTACACCAAGCTAACACAGACATACACAGACACAAAATGTCTGTGCTGCACAGATATTTTGTGTCTGTGTGTGTCTGTGTTGGCTTGGTGTACAAATGGGGTATCCCATGTTATGTTGGTGTACCCTAGCCTTGTCCTTTTTTTCATATTTTCCGATCAAAATTAAAAATGTTGACCAAGTAAAGTCAAACAACAAGAGGAGAGGAGTAGGATACTAGGATGTAACTTGCAATAGGAGTGTACATGTGACTTTGTGTAATCTCACACATATTGACACGTAGTAATCTATTTCTATATTTATATATACTTCGTATATGTGTATATATATACCCACACCATAAGATCTTGCAAGGACATACATTCACACAAGAGCCCGGTTAAAGGCAAAAATTTCCCTTAATTATATTAATTATGGGTTCCCATTACTCAAATGTTTTGGGAGTGTTATTCATACTAATAATAATGAGCGCGGGTCCAACCACCACAACTTCTCCTCGGCCCGGACCGATGATGAACGAGTCATCCTCTGGTTCGGGTCGGGCCACGAGCGAAAGAGGCCTCCTGGCAAATGAGCTTGCTCTCAAACCTCAGATGGGGTATGTGTATATATCTTATTCTTAATAGTATTCTTTTACCATTTCAAGAAAAATGAAATAAGTTCATTTTGGGACACACATTTTAAAAAATATGAATATACGCCGTATGCTCGATAAGAATATAATTTTTAAAAATGCATAAGAAAATATTTTTCTTATTACTATTTCTTATATGATCTACCGTATTCTCTTATATTACTCATCAAGATATAAAATATTCTAAATTTGGATTTACTAAATTATAGAGTATTTTAAATTTTAAAATTCATTCATAAGAAAATCTCAGAGTTTTAATTAGAAATTTCTGTATTTTATAAGTGCATGTAAAAAATTATATACTATTGGACATTTTTGACATTTCTTCACAAATAAATTTTTTTTATGCTTTTAAAATATTTATTGTTTAGAAAGCTAATTGTGGAATAAATCTCATTTATGATAAATATTAACTAGTATATTTAATGAAAATAAAACTATGTACAGGCGTGATTAAATTTGGAAAATCACATGATACAAAGTTTTTTGTCTAGAAGAACAAAAAAGTATGCAATAAGGGAAATCAGGGACTATAAGCATAAGTCACAAAGAAATTTATGAGACAACGTATAATAATGTCTTAGTGGTTGCATACTTTTTTTTCCGAGAGTGTTTGTCTAATTATGATTTTTGTAATCAGTCAAAATTAATCTTTGATCAATAATTATATAAAATTATATGGTACTTTAATTCGATAAACTGATATCTTGAAATTAGTTTATAAAATAAATTGAACAAAAAAAATTATATCAATCTCTAATATTAATTTTATATATTTAATCATGTTCAAAATTTGTAAATTTTTACTGTAGAATATTAAAATTGAACAAATACTCCGATACAGAGAGTATTATATTGTATTACTAGGGTAGATTATCATTCCCTCTTTTTTTTAAGGAAATAGTAATTTTGAATGAATTTTTTATGTGGTTTTTATTTGATAGATGGAGCACTTGGAACCATTTCCATTGCGATATTAACGAAACCCTCGTTCGTGAAACTGGTAAGGATATCTTTTTTCTTTATTATTTTCAAACGTCTCAAATTAATTTCCTTGTTCATAAATTATTTACATTATCAAACTTCTTTCTTTTTTTATTATTTTCATTATTCATTTAATAAAATATTATGATCATGTCATCTCATTTTCGTAGAGCTCTTGAGAGAGTTTTTTTATATGTATAATTTACTTTTTAGTTCCGCCCTAGTACTCTGATAAATTAAATTGAAGATAAATTTAGTGAAACATTGTAAATAAAAACAGGCAATTTAAATTGAGGTAGAGTACTACTTTGATTTCAGTACTTTTTTTTCATGCGCTATTCACTTAATCAAATTAGATCCAATTTAATTTCTTTACATATATTAATTTAATCATTCATTTGTTACAAAAAATATATTATTAACATATTTTATTTTGTAGAACTTTTGAATATGTAATTTTTATAATTTAATTCTACACTTATATTTAGATAATTTCCTTAGAAAATGTCATAGAGGTTGCATTTGCATATAATGTATTCTCAAGACAATTTATATTTTACTTTCAAATGATTTTTTATATCGTTTATAAAAATTACCTTAAATTGGATTAAAACATAGACTAAATACTAAAATAGGAATTCCATGTTTTTATTTCTGAAATAAGAATTTGCACTATAGTAATGTGATGGTTTGTGGCACTGTACATTTACATTTTACCTATACTTTTTGATAATATACATGATCATGCTTGCTAATGTAAATACATTTTTAATTCTATTTCGAGAATAAAAACATAAACATCTTATTTTAATATATTTTCGATATTTTATTCTTATTTAGTCTTTTTCATTTAATACTTAGCTTTAATTATTTTATATTGTGTGTGCCGTATAAGATCCCACTTTTGCATAATTTAAATAGTCAACTTTTGTCTTTTTTTTGGAATGAAGCTGATGCAATGGTATCAATGGGGCTTGCTTCCGTGGGATATCAGTATATCAATATCGGTATTTATGATATGGCAAACTCCTTCATTAATGTGTGTGTGTGTGTTGTTTTTTTGAGACTTTAAGTGATTTTTAGAACACATACTCTATATCATTTCCCATTTGAGAATTATGTGATTAGTATTTCTACTTTTTTCTTAAAAAATTACTTTAACTTCTATTTGTTCTTATTTTACCTATCACATCACATTTTTTATTAATAATCTATTTATCACATCTTACTTATACCCATCACATCAACGTCAAAATTGAAAAGTCAACAGCAAATATACACTTTTTATTTCTTTCATTAGTGAAAATAGAAACTATTTTTTTGAACGGAGAGAGTGTATAAACATATTTTCATTTTGATTAGATATTTTTCCCTCTTTATTTATGTAATATACCGATCTTCTCCGAGACAATGGTAGTGTGTTTGAGAAAATTTTTATATTTACATTATGTTTGATACATAGAATTAGAAAATAAAATAAATGAAAACAAATTTCTCATTTTTGTCGTAGAATGGAAGAAATTTTATTTTCCCTCCTCTTAGTTTATTATATTTTCTCTTTTACCTTTCAAATTTCTTGAACCAAAGGATTTAGATAATTTGTATGTGATGAATTTCACTTTTGGATCAGATGATTGTTGGGCCGAGCAAAATCGAGACGAACAGGTAGTTTTTGTTTGTTTTAAAATAAAGTTAAAGCTTTAATCATTTTATTATCACTACATTTATATTAAATACTTTTCTTCCTAAAACAATTTTAATCATCCATTTCATAATATACTTTCTTGTTTTTTTAGTTAAGATGTTTACTTAGATAGAAAAATGCTATGCTTATGATTTTTGTGGATTTTTTTACATAAAAAATCTTTTTTTATTAAAGAATAATGCTTATTTAGCGATAAAAAATACTTATTTTTACTCATATGTAGGTCTATGATGGACCTTAAGTCCACCAAAGAATTTGCCTAGAGAGAATACATATTGAAAGAGAGTAAACTATGTATATATGACACAAAATGGTAGTCCACTGCATTAGGTACTCCGTAAATTTTCAGCGTCTCCCTAGAGAAATTTACAACTTTTAGAAATAATTACAAGAGTAAGTTAAATTAAAAATAATTAAATTAAATGTAATTAATTAAGTGTTCTTTGCTTTAAAAAAAGTACATATTTAATTAGTTTGACATACTTCTTTTGGGCAAAAAAAAAAAAAAAAACCAATGGTGTATAGTAACCACTATGTTCCAAAATGTAGCCTGCACTTTTCTTTGTTGAATGTTTCAAAATTAACTATACACTTCTTCATTTTCTTTTTGGAAAATAAATACTTCCTCTATCTCATAAAATTATTTACAAATTGAGCTTTTATTATCAAATAATTATACACATTAATTTCAAATTAAATATATTTTTTAAAAAAATTATATTTAAAATTTGTATCTAAAAAAGAACCTAATTTTATAAAATTTACATTATAGTTGAGTATATTTTTTTACCATTGATGGTCAAAGTGTATAAAATTTATCAAAAAAGGTCAAAGTGTAAGGAATTTTGTAGGATGAAGAATGGAGGATGTGACTTATCATTTCTTATTTTGAATATATTTGTACAACACACCCACCTTTCACTTTTCACATCTTTTATTTTTAACCAAGCAACTCTAGACTTTTCTTCAACTTGAGCATATTAAAGTACAAATTTCATTTGAGGTGGAGTGAGTAAAAGTGCAAAACTTTAATCTTTTTATCAAATCGAATTTTTTTTAATGAGAGAATAACTTATTGATTATTAGAACATTTTAGAAGAGTGAGATTTAACTCAATTAAGTTAATTATTGTTTACAATTTAAATTACAATAAACTTTCAATTAAGTCCATTAAATATAATTCATTTCATTTATAATAAATTTCCCTTCAAAAGAACAAACTTTTATGCTCATGACTAAAATGTAGGGGAACTTGGTTCCTAGAGCCTCCTCATTTCCTTCTGGAATCATAACGTTAGCAGATTATGTTCATCAAAGAGGATTGAAGCTTGGGATCTACTCTGATGCAGGGTAAGATTACTCTCTCCCTCCCCTGCCTAGTGAATCTAATTGTTGGTGAAGAATGGGCATGTTATGTGATAAATTTGGGAGGGACAATAATGCTCCTAAACAACGTTAGATATTCGGTTTATGAAAAATGTGAAGAACAACTTGATAGATTTAGCAAATCACGTATAAAGGCTTTCATATTAAAGTTATTTCGGGATAAACAAAAACAAATTACTTTAATCAGATTAGATGTAAGTGATCTAGAATGAGTATGGGATACGGGCCCAATAGCCGATACTGGGCCTCGGCCGTCCACGCAGGTGGTAGCTCGTCCTCGACGAAAGGTTGGGCCACCAAAGAGATATCGAGATTATGTTTGAATTGTTATATTTTTCTATTTATTTATTTCCTATCTTTATTGATTATTGTACTCTAGATTTTTATTAGGTGAGCAGAATTATAAGCTCCTTCGAGGATTTCTTTTCGGTTATTTACCTCGATGCTTTTCTTGAACCGACAGGACTAGGGTTTTCTCTTATTTCTTGATATACGCATGTGCCCGTTAAGTGGAAATAAAAAGAGAAAACATTACGTAGAAATTTAGTTTACCGCAACTTCCTTTGCCCTAGCTACGCAAGTCGGCCAAGGAGCTTAGGGTTCCACCTTGGTCCTTATCAACTGGTGCTTTCATCCTCGATCGTCTTCATGGCCTCCCCGTTGTCCGATCCTGTTCCTCCTATCTTGAAGCTCGAGGACTTGATGCATGCTATCAACAACTTGGGAAAAGAGTTACAAGCCACCAAGTTGCAAGTCACCGAACTGGCAATCGTCTAGCAGTAGATTCTGCCCGATGTACGAAATCCACACGTCGGTGCATGACGCTTGCCAACGCCCAAAATAGCACCCCCAACCGGCAATCCGCTTCTTCACATGCGGGTGGAGGCCCCATGCTTTACGGGTGAAGACCCGGCCAATTGGACGTTTCGCGTTCAGATGTATTTCGATTATTTTGGAACTCACGATGCTGACCGCCTACCATTGGCAGCGATGTTGATTGACTACCCCGCTTTGGAATGGTTTTGTTAATATCAAACTAATAATTGTGTTGCTTCTTGGGAGGACTTTCTAGTGGTCGTATGCCAACGCTTTGATCTCGATTATTCTGAAAACTACGTCGGCTTGTTGTCCCAATTGACCCAATCCTCGACCTCTATGGAGTATCAAACTCCATTTGAGTCAATTTTGAACAAGGTATCGGGTGTGCTAGAGTCGACGCTCATGGCTATGTTCGTGTCCGGGCTTAAGCAACCGGTCCAACAGGAAGTTAACCTTCGCAACACGACGATGCTCCCTGCGGCTTTTGCATTGGCACGAGAACTCGCTGCCTGTCACTAGAAGGTCTTGGGTAGTGTAGCCCTCCGGCACGGCGTCCGTGGTTGCCACGGCCTTCTACCCCAGTTTCAGTTGGGCCTGCCTCACAGCCCTCTCCTTCACCCAAACCTTCGGATAAAACCACGTCGAGCCCGTTACCGATTGAACGGCTCACGAACGCTGAAAAATTGGAACGCCCTAAGAAGGGGCTTTGTTGGTACTGTGACGAAAAGTGGGTTACGGGCCACAGTTGTTGGCAACATTTTCTCGTGTTCATGGGCCCTGACAACAATGATCCATGCGTAACTCCACCCGAACAGCCAGACGCGTCGGACATCACCTCAATCATCACGGGGGACGTCTCGAGTGTCCTTTCTTTGGCCTGGCAGCCCAAGTCCACGGGCAGTGAAGATCGCCGGTTCGGTCAGTAGTATGGCGGTCCAGGTGTTACTTGACAGCGGTAGCACACATAATTTTATTCACCCACAAGTGGCCGAACCCCTTGCCTTGGTTCTCCATCCCATTCCACCTTTTCGAGTTTATGTCGGTAATGGCGATTCGTTACGATGTTCTTACTCTTGCCCGCGCACGCCCCTCTCCTTGCAAGGTATTATATTTGAAGTCGACCTCCTTATTTTGGAAATTCACGGACCGGATATTGTTCTTGTGGTCGAGTGGCTTCAAACTTTGGGGAAAGTCTCTCATGATTATGCACAGATGACTATGGAATTTGAGTGGAATGGCACCACGTTCCTACTCCGCAGTGATGTGCAGTCCCCACGGCCGATGTCCTACGACCTACTATGCTTGTTATTATCAACAGATGCTGAAATGGACATTTACGAGTTGGTAGCTCTAGATCCCTCATCGTTGCACCAGCCGGTCATAGAGATCGGTCTGCCAGACGAGCTTCTATTCGGCAGACCCTTTTGATCATGTGGCTGTTTTTAGTACCCCAACAAGGTTACCTCTATGTCTCCCTTGGGACCATCGAAGAATGAGATCGAATTACAGGTGCGAGAGATGCTACAATAGGGGATCATACGCCCCAACAAAAGTCTGTTCTCCTCACCCATCTTGCTAGTCCGAAAGAAAGATGGCACTTTTCGGTTTTGTGTCGATTATTGGGCGTTGAACGCAGCAACTACTCCGGACCATTTTCCCATCCCAACCACGGACAAACTGTTTGATGAATTGGGGGCTGCACGCGTGTTCACCAAGCTAGATTTGCGATCAGGGTACCACCAAATACGGATGCATGAGTCTGATGTGTACAAAACGGTATTCCGCACCCATGATGGCCATTATGCATTTTTGGTTATGTCGTTTGGCCTCACAAATGCGCCGTCCACGTTTCAATTCGCCATAAATAACATATTCTGGGAGTACTTACGAAAATTTTTTCTCGTCTTCTTCGACAACATTCTCATCTATAGCCCCTCTGTGGAGATCCATGGCACGCATCTTGAGACTATCTTGGGCACGTTGCAGCAGCATCAGTTGTTTGTCAAGCTCAGTAAGTGCTCTTTTTGTCAAACAACTATTGAGTATTAAGGTCATTTTATTGCAGCAAGGGAGTTGAAGCTGGATCCAACCAAGATTGGGGCAATGGTGGCCTGGCCGAAACCCACATCGGTGAAACAATTGCGTAGGTTTCTCGGCCTAATGGGGTATTATAGACGATTCATTGCCGACTATGCCCTTATCGCTGCCCCCTTGATCGAGCTGTTAAAAAAGGAGAATTTCCTTTGGAATCCTTCGACAGAGACTAGCTTTGAGCGCTTGAAACAAGCAATGACCACAGCGCCGCTGTTGCGCTTACCAGATTTTTCTTTGACGTTATATCTCAAAATGGACGCTTCAGACATGGGCATCGGTGCCGTTCTCTTACAGCAGGCGCACCCCTTGGCATTTTTCAGTAAGAAGTTGGGACCCCGCTTCCGCGCTTCCTCAACGTGCCATAAAGAGCTTTATGCAATTGTTGCGGCGGTACACAAGTGGCGTCAATATCTCCTCAGCCGGGAATTTGTCATCCGTAGTGATCAACACAGTTTAAAGGAGCTTCTTTTTCAGGTTATTCAAACCCTCGAGCAACGGTTCTACATTTGCAAGCTTATGGGATTTTGGTTCCAGAACGAATACAAGACAGGGGCTTCCAATCGGGTGGCCGACGCTCTCTCTCGACGTGAAGACGATCAGACAGTGGCGGGGCCATGAAATTCACGGAGTGGGTGCAAAAAGAAATGTAAAAATAAAAAACAAAACAAAATGATAAATATTACTCCGTACTTCGTATTAATATGATTTTTAAAAACATTTACAAAATCAATAAAAATCAAATTAAACTATTTTACTTTTTGATAGAGTTTGTTTGGAATTGAATAAAAAATTAAATAACCTACCACTTGTACATGTTAGAAATTAAAACCCTTAAAAAAGAGATAACCTCATTATTACTTTAACATCAACGGAAATGTAAGATTCCGTTGGAGCTTCCGGTACAAATCAAGTTTGGCTTATGGGCGGAAAATGGGGGGTAGAGGGTGTCGATTGAGATTTTAGAGTGAGATAGAGGGTTTGAGGGGAGAAGATGGTAATCTATATGCCGGTTAATTTTTTTTCTATTGAATTCCCAAACGACACTGTTTTGTATTAGGAAAAAAATCAGTGACTGCAATTGCAGTCACTTACTGCGATTAGACCGAGGCGAATCTCTTTACTTCTTATGCACAGCCCATCCCTCTCATCCTGAACGACATCCGAGCTGAGCGTGCGACGTGCGCTGAGCTCCAACGGTTGCATGCGCAGGTTCAGGCTAGAGAGGCACCCCCGCACTTGTCTCTCCACGACGGCATACTCTATTAGAAGCATCAGATCTATGTCAGCCCCACATCTCCTCTACGTGAAAAGCTCTTGATCGAGTTCCATTCTTCCCTAGCATCCGGCCACTAGGGCATCGAGAGGACGTTGCATTACCGAGCCGAGATTTTCTACTAGCCTCTTATGCGACGGGAGGTTCATGATCTTGTGGATGCTTGTGTGACATAGTATGGGAGCGACCAAGTATTCGACACAGAAACCAGCTGGGCTATTACAACCTCTCCCAATCCCACACCAAGTATGGGAGTCCGTTACCATGGATTTCATCATGGGCTTGCCACCGTCCAATGGACTCACAGTGGTTATGGTAGTCATCGATCGCTTGACCAAGTATACAATTTTCGGCCCTCTCGCATCGGGGTATGATGCCGATCGTGTAGCACGCCTCTTTCTTGATGTGGTCGTTAAACACCATGGCTCACCGACTAGCATTATCTCCGATTGTGACCCAATTTTTATGAGCACTTTTTGGTTGGAAATGATGAAACTGAGTGGTACGACCTTGAAGTTCAGTACGGCGTATCATCCGTAGACCAACGGTCAGATTGAGGTGGTGAACCAGGGCCTGGAACAATACCTCCATGCCTTTGCCTTCGAGTGACTAGTGAAGTGGTCTGGGTTCCTTCTGTGGGCTGAACTGGCACTTAACTGCAGCCACAATGACGACCTAAACACTTCGCCCTTTTAGGCTCTTTACAGGCGTCCACCACCGAGCCTCTTCCTTACCTTGTTTGTGCGTGCCAAAGTTCCGGCCATCGATGAAATGCTACGTGAAAGGGCTCACTTGCTCCTCAATTTGCAGCGCAACCTCTAGCGGATGCAACAACGCATGCAAGCCACGGAGAATCGTCATCGCCAAGACGTGTGTTTTCTGGTGGGTGATTTGGTTCTTTTAAAACTACAACCGTATCAGCAGCACTCGGTCACAAAGCTGTTAGCTGCCAAGCTTGCTAAGCGTTATTATGGCCCCTTTGAGGTATTGGAGCATATTGGCCAAGTTGCGTATCACCTTCGACTTCCTATGGGGTGCCACATTCATGATGTATTCCATGTTTTGTTACCAAAGCCCTTTGTGCAGCGCGGGTCTGATTATCCACACCCAGAGCTTCCATGGGAATTCTTCAAGGACCGTCCCGTACCCGTGCCAATTTCTGCTAGTCCGAGCCACACAGTGATTGTGGATGGGTCTCCACAAGAACAGTGGCTGGTCTGATGTCTGATGGCTCCATGGATGACGCCACTTAGGAGCTGGTGAAAGAGCTACAACACTATCTTCCAGATACACGCCTTGAGGACAAGGTCGAATTCATCTCGGGGGAGTTGATACGGGCCCAATAGCCAATACTGGGCCTCGGCCGTCCACGCCGGTGGTAGCTCATCCTCGACAAAGTTAAGCATGTTGAAGTTAGAGCATTTCTTGAATGGGTGACCCACTGAGAAGTTCCTTGTGCATGCAAGAGTGATGAAAAAGTACACGGGAAAGACTTGTGTTGTTTTGTAGGACTAGTCTACAATCTTATTAGTAGACACTTCTAGTCTGGGTAGGGACCGAGGTGTTACAATGAATCAACTAGTGGCATAGATTAGGGAGACTGGCTAAGGTCATGTTCACCTCAACTTATTATTTTTACTTATTATTTATTCTTATTAGAATTATATTAGATCAAACCAGATCAGATCAGAAACATCTTTAAATATAACTACATTCAGATAAGACCACACCAGATATGATCAAAACTTATTTCAATCAGATTATAACCATTCTGATTAGGTGAAGAGAACAATGCCTAAATAATAAAAGGGGTTAGGATTGTGAAGACACTAATGGCAGTGCTCAAAGAGTTAAAGAATAAGAAAAAGACTCAAGATAAGGCTCAAGCTTACACTCTCTTATTTCAAAAGGAAGATTCTTTCTCCTAGGAATGCTAAGCCTAGCCCAAATAAAACCCAAGTCTTAAATAAAGCCTTATCTCTCTCCTAAACATCCTTACTATAGTTATATTAAGAGGAAAACAATTCCTCCCTCTCTCCAACTTGATGTAGTTTATGACATTTATGTGATGTTGTTTTCAACTTATGAACTCCCTCAGTCCAGATTTAGTTACATGTCAACTTTTTAAAACAAATCTCATTTATTTTAAACGAGTTCAAAATGTCAAATAAGTCTTCAAATGAGTTTGTGATTCATCCATGTCAACAATACTCATAACATATTTCTAATATTTTTTAGAAAATTGATCATATTTTCTAAATTGAGTGTAAAAGTAAACAAGTAATAATAGATAAGTGAAATGTTGAAAGTGTAAAGGTAGATATGAACAAATAAAGTATTTAAAAGTTATGGAGTATATCAAAAGATTTTTAAAATACGAGAAGACTTGACTAAGTTATGTTAACAAATAATTATTGAAAATTTGTAGTGGAAGAAGATATGAGTTAAAAATAATCAAACTACAAGATCTATTAGGATGGAAGGAGTATTATTATGTGAGTCTTTAATTAGAATTAGCTGCCAATATTAGTAAACCTCACAAACAATGCACAATTCATCATTTTCACAAGTAATGTCTTACAATATAGCTTATCACAATTACTTTTCTTCAATTGTAGGACAGAAACATGTAGTGATACAATGCCTGGATCATTGGGATATGAAGAGCAAGATGCAAAAATGTTTGCTTCATGGGTATGTAATAAATATGTTTATTTGAGTTGCTTTAGTGTAGGAATTTTAAATGTGTAACACCAAAAAGTATTGAGAATCCTAGAATATGAGAGAAAAGTACAAGATAAATATATGCAGAAAAATTATATTTTCACTATTTCAAGATAATATGCAAAAAAACTTTCCCTTATTTACAAGGTTAAATACCAAACACTCATAAAAAGGACTTTTTCACATCAAATGTCATGTGTAGATCATATATTTTTTCCCTCCTTCCCAGCACAACCAAGCTTTAAACCAATTATTGGCATTTTAAGTTTGTATGACTATTGGAATAAAAGGATAATAAGTTTACTTGAGAAAATTGAATGGTCTAGTATATGAAGCATTCCTAACACAAGCAAGAATCAACCCAGTAAAAGAAGATGACTAATGAACAAATATTACCATAAGTAATACTATTGTTATTATTATCTAACATCTCCCCTCGAACTGAATCTGGCATAAGCAATAGGAAGCTTGGATAATAGCTAGAAAGTAGAAACTAAAAACCTTAGGAAGGATGAAGGTTGATGTGCATCAGTAGCTACTAGCAACAAAGAAGAAGATGATGATGAAGAAATAAAAGAGAGAAGTTTGACATAAGTTGGTAGCAGCTCACTTCGAAAGAGAAGAAGAAAATAAGGCTCTCAGAGGTGCTTGTTTGGATAAATATTCCTGACATTCATTTTCTTTTTCATGGATCCAGGCAACTATTTCCTCAATTACGTGAATATTTTGTGCTTTTCTTGAAGGGGTTGGTTGTTAGAGGGTATTTCTTGGTCTTCCTCTATTTCTTCTTTTAGATTTTCTTTTGTTGTGATTTGCTCTGGTTTTTTTCCTATTCAACATAAAGAGAAAGGATATTGATGATGAAGAAAGAATGATTTGAGAGAGAAAAGATGGACTAAGAATAGGTGGTGGAGAAGAAGATTCAAACGTGGTAAGAGAGGGAGTTGTTTATCCATTAACAGGAGGATATTGACAAGATTTTTGTTACAACGGTTGGATTTAAGAAAGACGACGGTTATAAGCTTTGGTGGTTGAAAATTTTGGTTGGTGATTGGTACTAATGTGCCTAGGTACCTGTTAGTTTGAGAAGTGAGAGGAGAGGTTTATTTAAAGAGGCTAAGGTGGTGGTTCATATGCCAAATCACCTTAATGGAACAATTTGGTCTCCATCAACATGCGACTAAATGTGAGAAGCACCCCTAGCTGCGATCCAATGGGCAGAGCCCGTGGCTAGGGTTGAAACTTCTTTAGATTTTTGTGAAAACATTCGAATGTGTAAATTGTAGATTCGAATGTAGGCATTCTCTAGACTTCGCCTATTACAGAAAATTGCTAAATGTTTGAATGTCATTATGCAACACTCAAATGTTGAATAATGTTCTCTGACATCATTTGCAAGACATCACAAAATATTTGAATGTTTCTATGGAACATTGGAGTGTTTGATGGTAATCTACAAAACTTAGTGCAAAAGATCTGCTAAGATTTGAATATTGATATTTAAGAATTCAAATGTTTAGAGATAAGACATGCAGATTTGAGCGTAAACTGCTACAATCATTTGAATGTTTGAATAAAACATTCGAATATTTACGTGACTTGTTTTGTTTTTCACCAACGATCATGTCCAATCACACATTTCTTTCTATCTATAGAGAACAACGATGTGTTTGAGTTACAATAAAATCCATACTCGATCTAGATTACTTACGTCTTAATGGATATTTATAATTAAAGGGAAGGTATTTATTATTCCAAAATATTCTCCTTTGGGAAGATAACTACAATCTAAATTATGTTGAATAATATAGTATTAGAAAATTTACATCTTAATAAAATGGTTTTAAAAATAGCATCTTTACATGGAATGTTGGATAAAGAAATTTATATGAAATCAACAAAAGGTTTTTTAGATCCTCTCAAGGAAGACATGTCGTTCAAGCTCAACAAAAACTTGTAAGTGTCAAAGTAAGAACCAAGATAGTGGTATAAGAAGTTTAACTCTAGATGAAAAGAAAGTTTAGAGAATTATTTTCAGAAGATGTTGTTCAAATTAATGATAAATGTCAATGCAAAATCTAAGACTACTCCATTTACAAATCATCTAAAATTATTCAAGGAGCAATTGCATAAGATAGATGAGGTGTATATGTGACCACAAGATGTGAGAGCTTTCAAAAGGTCATGACAAAGTTAATCAGCGTATGTCTACGTATGTCTATATTATAAATAGAATCACAGTTAGTTGGATGTCTACGCGTTAGAAGTATGTTTCTTTTTCTTCTACTAAGGTTAAGTATGTGACAATAGTCCAAACCAAGACGGCCTCCCTTATGGTTGGATCATTATATTCCAATCGAAAACCAATTTTTAATTGGAAGAATAACTCATATTCTTATATATGAAATATTTTTTTAATTTTTGTGTTCGATATAGAACTATATCCTCGACACCTAGCTTCAGCTTTCCTAACTTTGATCTTTTTGCTCTATGCTCTTGGTTAGGGAATTGACTATTTAAAGTATGATAATTGTAACAACGATAATGAAGATGTTAAAGACAGGTACAAATTCTATTGGCTCCTTGTTTCCTCTTTTACGTATATATGATATGTGTACCATCATGTTTAGATTTGATGTTGATCTATTTGATCTTTTTGTTGTCTTTTTTCTAACTTTTTAGTAAAACCATTTTTTATCACATTATTCATAGTATTACTCATTTTTAGTAGCATTGCAATATTGCACTAATCACTTGTGACTGTATAATTTTTTTGATCAATACTACCTATCAAAAATTGAATGGTTATAAGGAGGGAAATCAAACCACATATACAAAAAAATGAGACAAAAAGAAACACAAGAATCGAAATCCTGGAACCTAAAGGGTCGGTGTAGCAGCAAACAAGGAAGCTAAACAACGGAAGCAGCAAACAGGGAAGCTAAACAACGGAAGCAGCACCATATAGAGAAGAGTAGAACCAGCTGGCAGCTACTACGAAAATATAATGTTGATCAGGAAACCAAAAAATACTTGCAAAGATAGAATAATGAAAGATGAGTCTCAGAAGCTTTTCTTAAGGGTGGAAGTGCCCGCCTACCATACTGGTGAACGTGAATGCTCTCCTCGAAAGATAAAATGGCTAGCACATAGGTTAGTTATATGGATCGCGCTTGCACCAACAAATTGGAGCTATGATGATCTGATTGTCAACTAAAGGGACGAGGCCCCAAGGACCCCATATCATAGGTTTTTTGTTTCAGCGTCTAAGCACTATGTTTCGAAGCCCTGGACTTCGTGTTAGCTCTTGTCTTAGAACTCGGGTTCATAGTCTTAGCCTGGAGTCTGGGGACCTCGTACCTTCATTCTACACTCGAACCTTACACCTTTGTCTTAGCCTCGATACTTGTGCTCTAGGTTCCAAGTGTTTGGGCAGTATTTTTTATGCCTCAATCTCGATCCTCGGGCTCGGCCTCGAACCAAATTTCCACTACTATTATATACGTAAAGTTCGAATTTATTCACTCTTCACCCTTGAGTTTTATTTTTTGTCAAAAGATGTTACATCCTTATATATGTCCTTTGACAACAAACACACTTTCATGTGTGATGCTCACAAACAAGGGAAGTGTGACATCATATTGTTGTCTTTCCACTAGATTGTATTAATGAATAAATATTTGACATGATATATATAAATAAAACATCAATTTCTATTACAAAGAAAAGTCTAAACTATTTATTGAATTTATTTGGTAACAATATTTTATACAATCAAAACCATACATGAAAAAATTAACTTTGTTGAAGTTTTTTATATTTCCTTAGTTTTTTCTATATTATACACGCCCCTAGTAATTGAGTATTTTTCTCTTTAATTGAAAAATCAGGTACTATAAAATGAAGCAGGCACTACTTAACTCAGGAAGAGAAATCTTTTTCTCTATGTGTGAATGGTACGCCTTTTGCACAAATAATGTGTTTCTTCTAGTCATCATAGCATTTCTCAGTTCTCAAATCATGTTTCTATTTATTAGGGGACAAGAAGATGTTGCCACTTGGGGACAGTCTACAGGCAATAGTTGGAGAACCAGTGGAGACATCGATGATAATTGGGAAAGGTGTGTATTTTGTGTAATACTCCTTCTGTCCCTAAATATCTTTTCATTTTTAACCTTTCACATATCCCAAAATACATTTCCACTTCAATTAAAATCTCATATTTACCATTAATAATTATGAGAACTTGTAATCTTAAGATAATAAAAATGAAACCAGTGCTTGAAACGAGTAGTTTTGGGGCACCTGCGGTGCTCTGTTCATAAAATTAATGATTCCTACCCCCTAACCCACCATCTAAACAATCATACCCATCAATTTCACCTCATCCCCACCCCAATCCTCTCGCACCCCCCTCCTCTTAGATTGCCGATTTGGGGCCCCAAATCAGTGATCTAGGGGGCGTAGGGGCTGGGGTGGGGCGAGACAAAATTGATGGGTACGATTGGTTTAGAGGGTGGGTTAGGGGGAAGGAATCATCAATTTTACGAACAGAGCACCGTAGGTGCCCCAAAACTACTGGTGTCACGATGTTACACCACTTAAAGTGGTGTAACATTAAAGATTCTCAATAATTATTAACCTAACTATCATATAATACATATCCATTATTAATCTAACAATCACATCTTATTCTACCATACTATAAAGCAAGGCGAATTAAATATAACACACAAAATATGGGTTTTTAAAAGTAGAATTTTTTTAAAGATGGAGGTAGCATGTTGTAGTCCAAACATCTTTTATAATTTTTTTGTCCTAACACCTCTATGATATTTGTTGAAAAGTTTATGAAAAACAACAAAAACTAATGGGTCTAAAAATAAAGAACATACAACCTTTTTTTGTGATAACACCTCTCAACCCAAAGAAAAACCATGACCCTATCGAATTATATTTCCACTATACTATTCCCTTGGTTATCAATATTTTTGAGACTACACCTTACCTTACATCTCTTCCCTTGGATCTATCTCTTCCAGGCACTCATTCTTATAGCATATGAGTAGAATTCATTACAAAAAGCATCTAACAAACTTAAAAGTAATACACCACTTGCATATCTTCTTGCGCCATAACTCACACAATTCATAAATTGCTCATTCGTTCTTCTCCTTCTTATTTCAGCGTGCTTCACACACCAGCATACATGGATTTCTTATTATAATTTGCTTTGTTTTATATCCTTTCTTTTTCTTCATTTCACACCCACACACATCACATCTTTCGTTATGCATCATTCAATTTATTTTTCTTTCAACTTGAGAACAAAATAAACTCCAACATACTTACTATTTTAAAATTAGGCAGCTTATATACCGAACAAGTTTATCCATCAACTCGATTCAACAAATGTATAAGCTTGACTTAAGGAACATACTTTTTTCTTCATGTCAAAACACAATGCTTGTTGTTATGGATCTGGAGCAACGCGGAGAGACCCACGTCCGGCGAAGTGGTCGGGTCAGACGACCACCCGGATGGCAGCAGGAATTCATTAGGCATTAATTATTTTGATTATCTTATTTTATGTATCGTAGATTTTTACTAGGTGAGCGATTTATAAGCTCCTTCGAGGGTTTCTTTATGGTTCTTTACCTCGTCGCTTTTCTTGAACCGTCAGGATAGAAAACGTAGTTTAATAGGAAAGGGGATTCTTTCAAACCTATAAATAGAGGTGTACTCCTCTATGATAATTAAGCAATAAAACCCTAATTATCCCCCCTATCCCAGCCGCTCGGCTTTCTCTCCTTCTCCTTCAACTTTCGTCTCTCTCTCCCTCTACTTTTATTCCCTCTTCGTGGAGTTTGGGAACGTTCGGAGTTTCCCTCATCGATACCGTACGTATCATTGGTGCTTTCATTATGTCTTCGGACGTTATCACTTCCGCCGATTTCCGAGACTTCCAACAGCAAATTGATCGGCAACTTTTGGCTCATACCACCACCATGCAAACCCTAAAACATAGCATGGAACAACTACAGCACAACTTGGGAGAATTGTTTGGCCGCCTGGAGAAAAATTCAGCCACGGGTATCACGACGCCGCGCACAGGCGGCGGCAGTGGGTCTGAACCGGTCCCTCTTATGTCCAAATTGAAGCTGGAGATGCCCAAGACGGACGGCTCGGATCCTCTCGGTTGGCTCTTCAAGGCACACGAATACTGTCTTCTATGGCGTCGCCGAGGACGCACGCCTACCGTCCGTTTCTCTTATGCTCGAAGGCCCAGCCCTAGATTGGTTTCATTGGCGTCAACGGAATGCTCTTGTGGCCTCCTGGTCAGATTTTGTGTCCCAATTCAAGCTACGCTTCGACCCCTTAAGTTATGTGGACTATTTTGGGCTGCTTTCGAAGGTTCACCAAACCGGCTCCATTCTCGAGTACCAACAGGCTTTTGAAAAAATACTCGTTAATGTCACCGGGGTTGCCGAACCGAATCTTCAGTCTCTTTTCCATGCAGGTCTGAAATCTCATCTACAACATGAAATTATGCTTCTCAAACGCGGTTCCTTGTCCGCTTCTTTTGCTCTTGCCCAGGAACTATAAGTTAAATACACGGCCTGGACTTCGGCTATGCCACCACGGCGAGAGGGGTTCCGTGACCAGACAGGTTCTAAGACCCCAGTTTCTCCTACCAACATGCCTCTACTGCCGTCGCCAAGAACGAAGCCTCCATTATCTACCAAGCCCACGACCGGTCTTCCTGTCCGACGTCTCTCGTATGCCGAACGGAAGGAACGGGATGCTAAGGGTCTCTGTCATAATTGTGACGAAAAATGGGTGAAAGGTCACAACTGCGGTCGGTTCTTATTATTATTTGAGGACGACGACGACGATGATACCTGCAATCCTCCGGACGACACGGTTCTCACAGCCGATGTTTCTTCCCTCCATAGTTTGGTAACAGCTCCACGGTCCTTGCGGCTGTCCGGCATGATTAATACAGTGGTGGTCGATGTCTTGATTGACAGGGGTAGTACCCATAATTTTGTTCACCCGTCCATTATCGAGAGGGCACAGCTACCCGTCGCGGACGTCACGCCTTTCCGCGTGTACGTGGGCACGGTGAATCCTTGGTTTGCTCCCGACAGAGCCTTCAGGTGCCACTTTTGTTGCAAGGGTTTCACTTCTGCGTCGACGTCAATGTTTTGCCCATCCATGGGCCGGATATGGTACTCGGTGTTCAATGGTTACAGTTATTGGGCCGGGTGACGCATGATTACGCCAACCTCGTCATGGATTTTACGTGGCACGGAAAGCCGGTAACTCTCCGCGGTGACCCCCTGTCGCCTAAGCCACTATCGTTGCATCACTTTCACGGCCTCTGTGCCGCCCAGCAAGTAGCCGACTGTTACGAATTGTTGATCACCCCTAGCGTGTCTGCCGCTAGCGCCACCAGTGAGGAATGGCCGCCTGATCTCCCACCTGAGATTCTGCAGGTTCTTCACCGGTACCCCACGGTTTTTGCCCAGCCTACGGGTCTCCCTCCACAGCGCCTCGCTGATCACAGGATTTTTCTCCAGCCCGGCACCCACCCGGTGAATGTCCGGCCGTACCGCTACCCCCACTTCCAAAAAATGGAAATTGAACGCCTTGTCCGGGAGATGACGGATCAAGGTTTAATTCAGCCTAGTCGAAGCCCATTTTCTTCTCCAGTCCTCTTAGTTAAGAAAAAGGACGGAACCTATCGTTTCTGTGTCGACTACAGGGCCTTGAACGCCGTAACGGTACCCGACCATTTCCCCATTCCTACAGCAGATGAGTTGTTTGATGAATTAGGGGCCGCACGATTCTTCTCTAAATTGGACCTCCGCTCGGGTTACCATCAGATCCGTATGCATGAGCGAGATATATACAAAACGGCGTTTCGCACGCATGAGGGTCACTATGAATTCCGAGTCATGCCATTTGGATTGACAAACGCCCCTTCGACTTTTCAGGCATGTATGAACCGGCTGTTTGCTGCCTATTTACGCCGGTTTGTCATCGTGTTCTTTGATGACATTTTGATCTATAGTCCGTCTCTTCGGGATCATGCCATGCATTTGGAGGTCGTCCTAAATTTACTCCAAGCCAACATTTTTTCCGTCAAGCTTTCCAAATGTACTTTCGGTGCCGAATCCATTGAATACCTCGGCCATGTGATCTCCGCAGGTCACCTACACGCGGACAAGAGCAAAATTGCGGCCATGGTTGATTGGCCAGTTCCTTCCACACTCAAGCAACTACGGGGTTTCTTGGGTTTAACGGGCTACTATCGGCGTTTTATCCAACATTATGCACAACTTGCCGCGCCATTGACCAACTTGTTGAAAAAGGATGCATTCACTTGGGGGGATACGGCTGCCACGGCTTTTCAAAACCTCAAGAACGCCCTGACCTCTGCCCCGGTTCTACGACTTCCCGATTTCTCCAAATTGTTCGTAGTGGATACGGACGTGTCGACAACAGGAATTGGAGCTGTTTTATTACAAGATGAACACCCCATTGCTTATTTTAGCAAGAAACTAGGCCAGCGACGACAATCCGCATCCACCTATCACAAGGAGTTATACGCTATTGTTGAGGCCGTGCAGAAATGGCGTCAATATCTATTGGGCCGAGAGTTTTTGATCCGTACGGATCAACGGAGCTTACGCGAGCTGCTACAACAAGTGATACAAACTCCCGACCAACACTTCTACGTCTGCAAATTATTGGGGTATCGCTTTCGGATCAAGTATAAACCAGGCAGACACAACTGCGTGGCTGACGCTTTATCTCGCCAAGAAGGACCTTCAGAGGTCGGCCAGCTTTTCCACCTATCACAGCCCCTCCCGGAAATTTTACAGCGGATTCACGCCGAGAACACCACCCAGCCAGATTTGCAACGCATGCATAGCGATTACCAGCGGGGGGTTCTCCAGCCGCCCTTCTCGGTCATCAACGGCATTTTGTACTACAACACTGTAGGACCTCAGGCGCTACCAACTCTTCTAAAACCAATTGGTGTTAGAAGAGGCGCATACCCTAGCCTTATAGTGCATTCAACACACAAGCGCCCACGACATTCGACTATGACTTGGCCCACATAGCCTCCGCCATGGGACAATTGCTGCATACATGGCCAACAATCTCCCCCTCAACAATTGCTCCCGCTGGGAATCGAACTCGTGACCTTGGCTCTGATACCACTTGTAGGACCTCAGGCGCTACCAACTCTTCTAAAACCAATTGGTGTTAGAAGAGGCGCATACCCTAGCCTTATAGTGCATTCAACACACAAGCGCCCACGACATTCGACTATGACTTGGCCCACATAGCCTCCGCCATGGTACAATTGCTGCACACATGGCCAACAATTGCTGCACACAAGGGTCAACAATTTCCCCCTTTTTGATAATGACAAACCCAACTTATCAAATGCTTGGGCTTGATTCCAAATAATATCTTGTTTTCAACAAATACAACAAGAGCAACAAGACAAGACAAGTAAAGAGTTTAAAATACTTCCCTTACTTCCCCCTTAGTGATTGTACTACAACAAGCACAAGAACATTACTCTTCCCCCTTTTGTCATAAGCAAAAAGGGTGAAGGACAAAAAAAAACATTAAGTTTATCAAAACACAAGGAGGAATGGGAGATAGCAAAGTCACATATAACAAAGACAAAAGATAAAGAGATATTAGATAAATAGTTTAGAAAATAACATGAGTGCCCCATCCACTCATTCCTCATCCATCTCATCTTCCTCATCATCAGCAGCATCATCAGCAACAATTCCCTGAGTCTCTTGATGAGTAGTCGTATCCTGAGAAGATGATGAGCCGTGGTACATATATGGCTCCAACGCATCCATCGATGGAACCATCCAATGTTCTCCCGACTTGACCAACAATTGGTTCAAATTATAACCATGGATAGCCTGTTGAATCTTCAAGTTGTCAAGGGAGGTTTGGATTCCTTGCATAGCATCGTATAACATCGGCAGAGAAACCCTGCCTCTATAGGAAATCTGACGCTTCTGGGTAGGAGCAACAACATCATCATCATCGTCACCAAAGTCATCATCAACATTCTGAGCATGAGTTACGGTTTCCACTCGGATTCGCCAAAAAGGAGTATCAATAGTCATCTCAGCATTAGTAAACTCATGCGTTGGATCTCAAGACAAGTGTGAAGATATACAACAAGGGGGAAATTGTTGACCCTTGTGTTTTGATAATGACAACTATCTCATGGGCTTGGCACTTTGGATGTTGATCTTCACAATCATGCGTTGGATCTCAAGACAAGTGTGAAGATATAGTGTTTTGGTTTTTTTGTTTTGATCTTAGCATTTTTGTTAAAGTGTATGGCACGTTAGTTGTTTTTCCTCTTTGAAAATGTTTTCCAAACACCCTTTAGATTGCTTTTGAGTCAGTTGCAAAATCACTTTTTTTTTAAACTGTGAAAACTATTCGAATAATTCTTGTTTTATTCGAATAAGACAGAGTTTTCAATTCTGTCTTATTCGGATAAATAGCATATTATTCGAATAAGTCCTGACTTTCATTTCTTCAATCCTACAGTGATTTAGTCGAATAAACCTTAATTTATTCGAATAAGTCTGCGTTCTTCGCTCTGTCCTATTCGGATAAATATGATTTTATTCGAATAAGTCGTCAGTTTCAACTGCAGTTTTGTCAATTTTTAAGGAAGTTATCCATCCCTATCTTCCAAAACTCCTTTTCAACGGCTCTTTTGCTTGAAGAACATTATTTATATCCATTCAAACATATTCTTCTATCAATCCAAGCAATTCAGTTCATACTTTTGATCCTTCAACATTACTTCCAAGCAATTCTTCAAGAAATCAATATTTGCTTGAGTTTTGGAGAGTACTAGTGTGCCATACTCTATAAGGTCTTGTATTCTATAGCAATCCACTCTTAATTTGAAGAGTATTTCCGATGTGCACTTTGTTTTGAAATTGTGTGTGAATTGTAAAAACTTGAAGTTGATATAATTCAAGTTTTGGAGAGAAATCCTAAGTCTTGTGAAATCAAGACTTCGGTGGAAAGGTTAGAGGCTTGCGAATTCAAGTTCTCGAGTTGTAATCGGATTGTCAAACTCCGTTAAGTTTGACAAAGTTAGTGGAATCTCGGGCACGTTTGCTTCGGGGACTGGATGTAGGCATTAATCCGAACCAGGATACATCGTGTGTTGCTCCTTCTCTTCATCTTTGTGTTCTTGTGGTTGATATACTTCTGAGAATTTTTGTTCTTCCAAAAGTTTTTTATTTTTGAAGAACACCTCTATTCACCCCCCCCCTAGAGGTGCGTAAGTTGTTCAACAAACACCAGGCTTTGCATTAGTGGGGAATCGGACATTCGATTCGAATTATTGAAGGAGTATCATGCATCTCAGACCGGGGGCCATACGGGAGTTCACCGTACCTTCCAACGTTTGGCACAATCCTTTTATTGGCCGAAGATGCGTGCGGATGTACGTCGCTTTGTAGCCGGCTGTCGGACCTGCCAAACCACAAAATGCTCCACGCAGCCCCCGTCCAGGCTCCTCCAACCTTTGCCCATACCCGTGCAGATTTGGGAAGACATTAGCATGGATTTCATCACGGGCCTTCCCCCATCTCGAGGATCTTCGGTTATTTTTGTGGTGGTTGATCGTTTGTCCAAGTATGCCCATTTTGGGGCATTACCCGGGGATTTTGATGCTCATCGTACGGCCTTCTTGTTTACAGACATGGTTGTGAAATTGCACAGCATCCCGAAGACCATAGTTTCCGACCGCGACAAGATCTTTACTAGCGCCTTCTGGAAGGAATTACATGCTTTGAGTTCTAAACCGTACCCTGGAGCAATATTTGCGGGCCTTCGCCCACGCCAAACCCAAACGCTGGACCGTCTTGCTCCCTTGGGCCGAATATTCCGTCAACACGAGTTATCACCATGGGCTACAAATGACACCTTTTCAAGCTGTGTATGGTCGTGCGTCGCCAGAATTGATTCCATATTCCCGCGGCTCCGGTCGGGTTCAGGCAGTGGATGATATCTTGGGGGAACGTGATGCTCTTTTACGGCGGCTACGGCTGAACTTGGCATTCGCTCAGAACCGAATGAAGTAGACGACAGACAGCAAGCGTCGCGAGGTTGGATTTAACGTGGGGGATTTGGTGTTGTTGAAATTGCATCCGTACAAACAACATTCTATCGTCCGTCGTTCGTCACATAAGCTGTCTTTGCGTTTCTATGGGCCGTTTGTGGTGTTGGAGCGGATTGGACCAGTGGCATATCGTCTACAGTTGCCTGACACAGCTCGCATCCACCCTGTTTTTCATGTCTCTGTCTTGCGTCGTTTTCGGGAAGGGGGTGATAGCGAGCGAACTTTGCCTCTGCCTGCCGAGTTGGTGGACGGTCAGGCCCCATCACTGCCCGTCAAAATCCTGGATCAGCGTCGAGTGCTGCAGCATGGGAGTCCGGTCGACCAATATCTTGTCCAATGGAGTGATGGCGGGGTAACAGATGCAACTTGGGAACCAGTCGAGAGTATACAGCGGAACTTTCCCAACCCTCACCTTGAGGACAAGGTGATTCCTGAAGGGCGGGAGAGTGTTATGGATCCGGAGCAACGCGGAGAGACCCACGTCCGGCGTAGTGGTCGGGTCAGACGACCACCCGGATGGCAGCATGATTTCATTAGGCATTAATTATTTTGATTATCTTATTTTATGTATCGTAGATTTTTACTAGGTGAGCGATTTATAAGCTCCTTCGAGGGTTTCTTTACGGTTCTTTACCTCGTCGCTTTTCTTGAACCGTCAGGATAGAAAACGTAGTTTAATAGGAAAGGGGATCCTTTCAAACCTATAAATAGAGGTGTACTCCTCTATGATAATTAAGCAATAAAACCCTAATTATCCCCCCTATCCCAGCCGCTCGGCTTTCTCTCCTTCTCCTTCAACTTTCGTCTCTCTCCCTCTACTTTTATTCCCTCTTCGTGGAGTTTGGGAACGCTCGGAGTTTCCCTCGTCGATACCGTACGTATCACTTGTGCTGCCACATCAACTTATAAAATCGTTATACTATCACCAAACAAAACAAGCCTCACAAATTGAGACATGTCTTTCTACTCCACAATGCCGAAAGACTTTGACACAAGGAATGGACCTATAGATCACCGATTTTGACAATTCGCGTAATCTTTTATGGTATCTTTTATCCATTTATTCCCATGCTAACGTGGTCAAACTCATCATCTCTTCTTGCATAAGAGGTTGACCATCAAGATCTCACATTATTGATTTTTCTAGCACGATTCCTACGTAACTCTAATAGTGAATCTTGAAATGCCAGATGAGATAAGACCTAAGGTGGCTCTGAAGTTTCTCCCTCCACAAAAATGGACCTTTCGAACCTAACAATGCCGCACCTTGGAAAGGTTATGGAATGAGAGGCGGGTTGCCTTTGCAGCAAAGTGTCATTATGTGCTCTCGACAACTTCTAGCTTCTCTATCAGGTCTAGAAATTTTTTCATGGCAACCTTGTTTAAAACACTACCTATGAGGAATGCACTAGTGATTAGAGGTGGCAATCGGATCAACCGGATCGGTTTCGGGTTGGATTTTTTCGGTTCGGATATCTTTCGGTTATATGTTATAATCGGTTTGGTTCGGATCGGATCGGTTAAATTTCGGTTCGGATTTGATTTCGGTTCTATACATTTTTTGGTTTCGAGTCGGTTCAGATACGGTTCGGTTATAAATCGGTTCGGATACAATTTGAGTCAGATATATTTCGGTTTCGGGTCTAGTTCAGTTCGGATATATTTCGGTTTCGGATCAAATATATTTTGGATATATATTATTTTCTAATTTTCCCCTTTTGACTTTTTAGTCATATTTTACAAAGTTGGACTACAAATTATGAAAGCATATATATTTAATTATGATATAAATTTAATATAATTAAATTGATTTTAAAATTTAGTTTTGAAATATAAAAATTTTCTCACATCTACTAATATACTTATGTATATAAATGAAAGGATAAAAGATAAATTCAAATAGTCTTATGTTCCATTTGAATAGAATTTGGTAAAAATTGAGTAAAATTGGGTGAAATTAAGTGAATTTTATTCAATTGAGT